GCGGGGACCTCTCCATTTCCTCTTCGCGTCCGCCCTGGGGACAGGAGGCAGACACCCAGGCCTAACCAGGCTCTGCCTCTGACTGACTATGCCATGTTTCTTTGAGCCCAGGTCCCTCAAATTTTAAAATGTGTGCGTACACAGTAGACCAGATCTAATTTACAGGGTTATTGAGAAAATTAACGAGCTTGCTCATGGGTTTTATAAAGCGCACATACTTCACAAATGAGACGGATGTGAGCGGGGTGTTTCCTGTTTGGACCTGTGCCTTCCCCAGAGCCCTCTCCCAACAAGGACCACCCCTGCTCAGGTGACGCTCAGCAGGTTGGCCCTGGGTGCGCTCTCCCCAGGTGCAAGGTGCCCTAATCACTGGACAAGGCTGTATCCTTTGTGTCAATCCCAAGTGGGGTGGAGGCTCAAAGACCACAGTGCACCCAGGCACCGGAGGAGGAAAGGTTCCTTTGAGGACCCTGGAGGGGAAGAGTGGGGGGAGTACTGTGAGAGAGACAGATACAGAGAGGGACGGTCAGAGCCTCAGGGCGCTGAGTCTGGTATCAAGTCCACATGTCTTCAACACCAGCCGGGGAGACATGATTAATTTCTATTATTTCTCCTGGGGCCAATTCAAGTTTAAACAGTGAAAGTGTGAGGAGAGGTGCTTTGGAGTTCCAGCTCCTTCCCTGGTCAGCCTCAGCTTCTCTCCCAGTCCTGGACCCGCCTAGCCCTGTTTCTGAGGATTTTCCCTCTTCAGTGCCTAAACCCTCCCACTTCTCTGGCCTTAGGGGAGTTGGCTGTTGAGCATTCCAGGAGCAATCTCTGTACTTCTCTGACCCCCGCTGCCGGGGGAGCTTGTTCACAGAAGCAGGGACATGTTGGGGAGGAAAACACTGGATCACAGGGACTGGAGAGAGCTGGCTGCATCTGAGACCGGCCACTTCCCAGCCCCGGACAGTGGACAGTGATTGCAGGTCTCTACCCTCAATCCACCATCTCTCAAATCTTAGTCACTGAATGATAATCCTCGGTTGCCACTGCTTACAGAAGAGATTTAACTCAACTACATGTCTCTTAGTTTGAGTACTGTGGTTCTAGAGACACAGCCACGACCGACTCAAAACCCAAACAAAGATGTCATGGCCAAACAGCCTAACAGTAGCCCTCACTCTTCTAAGTGGACAATTTACCAATCTGCTGTAAAAACACATTAAGAAAAAAATAGAAATAAAAAAGAAAGAAAAGAAGAAAATAAAAGCTTTGTTTTTGTTCTAGCTTCCTTGAGAATAGATTTAAAAACATAATCTTAGAGATATATTTGGGAACGAAGCACTTCATGTGAATCTCATTAATTCTTGTTCCAGCGTGTAAGAACATTAATTAGCTCCTGGATTGTGTACAGGGAGATATGAAATTATGCATTTGATGACATTTTGCCTGGGTTGTCCCTCCCTCTTTGCACCATCTGGCTTCCTGAAATAGTTTTTTCAGCAGCACCAATTCAGTGGCATGAATAATAAACGCTGTGGGTATCGATGCTCTTTGCCGAGGAAGCTCCGCAGCCACACTTCAGCCTCAGAGACGCACCAAACTCCTCTCCTGTCTCCAGCCCTCAGAGGTTTTAGATACACGCACGCCCAGGTTCATCTTCCTCCTACCGCCCGACACACCCAGCTGAGCCACTGGTGACAGAGAGGTCATTTTCAGTGGAGTTTGTCCTCGGATCGCTACAGAGTGAAAAATATGAGTGCATGGGATTGTTTCTCCTAAAGACATGATTATTCCTCACTAAATTGCGTCTTGCTTTCGATGACCAATCTCTGTTTCATGGACACATATATGGAAATATCAGAAACTTATGTATGCAATTGTATGTAGTAAAAAAAGTAATTCATTTTAATAATAATAGGAAACATTTTCTACTTAGAGACTCATAAACCTTCTGTGAGGGTGTATGGCAGTTCTTTCAATATTAATTTTTCTTAATTTATTCATTTAAAACACATTAATTAAGTGTACATATATAATGAACCTTGTGCTAAAGATAAAAAACTAAAAGCTACTCTTTAGAGATTCAGTCTGGAGGCAGAAATTAAAACATAATACAACATGTAAAATACAAGCAGTATACACAGAAACAGGGTGGGGGGCCTCATTAGGAAACTGTTGTGGGATCTGGGGAAGTCCACCAGCTCCCCGGGCAGGGCCCTTCCAACTACCCCTTATAATCTAACCACCGTTCATATAAGTAACTCAGCCAATAGAACAGTACAGTACGAAAGTAAATTCTTAATTTAATAAAGTTCATTTCCTCTACACTCCTTTTAAAGGAAAAACTGCCAAAAAAGGAAGAAAAAATGTTTTAAAAATACTCCAACCTTAAATTTCCAGCCACTGGAGTCATTATGAAATCAACCCAAATTCTTGAGCTATATGTAAGTTTTGCAAATAAATGATGCTAAAAACAAATGTTCCACTCTGTGCTCTCCAAGCCTCAGGACCCCCACCCCTCAAATTTGAAGAGAAACTCAAGTATTGCAGGTATGTGCTAATTACTAAGGCAGTGCTCTGGTTAAATGTCCCAGAAATATGTTCTCTTCATATTTCAATAAATATGAACAGAAAAATTGTTTCATGGTTCCACTCATTTAACTAGAAAATTCTATTAATAGGAAAATCATTTTCTCTGAAAATCCTGGTTGACTGACCTATTATGGTAAGAAAATGTTCCTAACTGTTTATAAAAACAGTATGCTGCTCACACCCAATATTTGCAATAATTTGAATCCCTCCCATAAATTCCTTCCCATGACCTCTGTTAATAGGAATATCATTTTCTCTGAAAATCCTGGTTGACTGACCTATTATGGTAAGAAAATGTTCCTAACTGTTTATAAAAACAGTATGTTGCTCACACCCAATATTTGCAATAATTTGAATCCCTCCCATAAATTCCTTCCCATGACCTCTTCTTTAAGCTGTGCACTAACTTCAAGAATCCTGATGGATCTGGATTCCCCAGTCATTGCATCCTTACTTTTCTATATCTCATAAGCTTTGATGCAGGAAATTATTTTATTCTTGTGGGAGCTACCTTATTTCACCTACAGTCGGTTGGGATCTCTGCTTCTCTCTGCCCAGTTTCTTCATCCTTTGACCCGAGGTGGGGGGTGGAGCACAGAGGGTCCTGGGCAGATTTGAGGTCTGGTGAAGGGAGACTTGAGGGGAAGATCCACATAGTTTGAGCTTGTTGAGACATGTTTATGTGTCCTGAACCCGTTTCTATTCACAGTTAGGTTGTCAAATTTGCAATTTTGCATTTTTTAAAAAATCCCCATAAATCGTTTAAATTTCAAGCCCTACAAATTCTGCATCCATACCTGTGGCCTCTATAGCTAACTTTCTAGGGCTTTCTGTCTTCCATCAACTGACAATGGAAACTGATGTGATCCAAACAAAGCACCACAGAGAAGTCAAGTCTGTTGCAAAGCTTCTGCCCCCGGAT